AGTTGTCAGTATTGAATGTAATATCAGCGGCTGAGCCGAAACTGAGCCGACTAAACCCTCCAGACACTGACTGACAGACCAAACTGAGCATTTGTGATTTAATCATGTTCATCCGGCTAGTCTTTCCTCATGCAAAGTGTGTAAAAGCATACACTTGTGCTTAGCTTTGGGTCTAATAATAATGCTAATGAATATTCAAAATCCACTCGTGTGCTTAATTTGAAGTGAGCGGAAATGAAATCAGCTCCTCGTTGTGTTTGCAGCTCCTCTTTGGAGACGTTTATAATGTGGTCTGGTTTAATCACACTTCAAGTCTAAAATGGCTGGTTTACACGAGTGTTTGTCTTGAAGGCTTTGGCCGTGTCCATATGCAAATGTGATGATAAAGTGGATTCAGAATCGAGCCCTCGCATACGCTTCTCTCCTCGCCGGGTCTAAGTGTAGGTGTTCATGATGTCTCCTGTCCTCTATTTATGACTTCTGGGAATGCAATGATTCTTACCTCCAGCTTTACTAAAGCTACAGTGCAACACATCAGTTTATCCTCACATGAAGTGGAACTACAGCGATGCATTATGATAATGAGTTTCTGACTCTACGTTCTAATTGGCTGATCCGGGTTTGAGGCCATTGCAAAATATATATATTTTAAATAATCAGTATCGGTCAATATGTAGGCCTATATTTGAAATTGAAATTATTCGATTATTCCCCCCTCCATTGCAAATCAGGTTTGTTGGCACAGTTTACAGACTTTCAATTAATTAAACAAACAAAAGTAATTGAAATAGCTCAACACTTACACTACAAATGTTTCAAGTGGTTTCCCCAAATTCAACTGAAAGTGCAACTTTTAGTTACTTTTGATATTAAACACTATACCGTTCAAAAGTTTGGCGTCAGGAAGATTTTTTTTTCTTTTTTTTTTCTTTTTTTTTTGTTGGAAATAAATTAAAGAAGTTAATACTTTTATTCAGCAAGGATGCGTTAAATTGATCAAAAGTGACAGTAAAGGCATTTATAATGTTACAAAAGATTCTATTTCAAATAAACACTGTTATTTTGAACTTTCTATTAATCAAAGGATCCTGGAAAAAAATTGTACACAACTGTTTTCAACATTAATAATCATAAATGTTTCTTGAGCATCAGATCCTCATATTAGAGTGATTTCTGAAGGATCATGTGACACTGAAGACTGGAGTAATGATGCTGGAAATGCAGCTTTGATCACAGGAATAAATTACACTTTACTATATATTCACATAGAAAACAGTATTACAGTTTTAAAAATATATATTTTAATCAAATAAATGCAGCCTTGGTGAGCATAAGAGACTTCTTTTAAAAACATAAAAAATCGTATCGATCCTAAACTTTTGAACGGCAGTGTTGGTATGTGTGTATATATATATATATATATATATATATATACTTTTATATTATGCGATTAACTGTGATTAATTGATTTGACAGCATTAATTGATTTGATATACTGTATATACAGTATATTTATATTTTTGGCCATACATTATTTTTTGAGCATAACATAAAATTGTCATATCACATTGGCCAGAATTTTAAAATCGGTGATTAATACTATATGTTCAATATGATATGATATATTAGCTTTCCTGTTGCTCAAACAGTAGAGCGCTGGCGCTTGCAACGCCAAGGTCACGGGTTCGATTCCCAGGGAAAGCAAGACCTGATAAGAATGTAAATGTGTGCCTTGAAATGCAATGTTACTTGCTTTGGATAAAAGCGTCCGCCAAATGCATAAATATAATATTGAACACTAGTGTTGTGCATCATACTGCTGTTTCCACCGTTTTAAAGCACTTTGCATTGCATTGTTAAAGCAACACCTCTTACCACGGTAAAATCACGGTAATGTGTGGCCTCTTGCAGTTTTGGTTTGTTGCTGAATTGAACTTTCTTGCTGTATGATGTGAGTTTGTGCTCAGTGTGACAGCGGGGTTATTATGACGCATCGAACACGAACACCATCATATTCTGACCCTCGGCGGTGTCCCGCTGTTTAGCAGAGGAGGAGCTGTTTCGGGGAACTTTACTGTGTGTTTCAGCACTGTGACGATGGCGGTTTGATGTCAAGACATGCCTGGAGTTTGTCCTTGGCACTGAAGAAGACAGCGCAGTTGTTTGCCATTGTGTTCGGCACTCGCTGCAATGAAGGAAGATACAGCAGATTAATAAAACAGACTGACCATGACTTTATTAGCCTTGATCTCAGAGTCAGCAAACTGCTGATAATAAAGGACTGGTGTGTGTGTGTGTGTGTGTGTGTGTGTTTGAGTGGCCTGACGTGTGTGTGTGTGTGTGTGTGTGTGTGTGTGTGTGTGTGTGTGTGTGTGTGTGTGTGTGTGTGTGTGTGTGTTTTCCAGGGGCCTGACGTGTGTGTGTGTGTGTGTGTGTGTGTGTGTTTCAGGGGCCTGACGAGTGTGTGTGTGTGTGTGTGTGTGTGTGTTTTCCAGGGGCCTGACGTGTGTGTGTGTGTGTGTGTTTTTCAGGGGCCTGACGTGTGTGTGTGTGTGTGTGTGTGTGTGTGTGTGTGTGTGTGTGTGTGTGTGTGTGTGTGTGTGTGTGTAAATGTGGTCTGGTTTTCTCACTCATCATTAGAGTGTAATGAGAGCGTATAACACACTCATTAGAATGTGTGGATGAACTCTATATGCGCTTATATCCAGATCAGCTCTCAGAAGGCCTGCAATGAGACCTCTTCACGATTAATGCACGACGAGAGGAAAACACATGGTGCCAAATTTCCACAGGTTTTTCAACATTGAAAATAAATAATATGAGATGCTATAATGAAATTTAAAGATTTCTTTTAATTCTCATCAAAGCTGCAACAACGGATGAACTGATCTTTAAAATATTAAAGACAAAATGTAATTATTGATTAGTTGGGTCTTAGATTAGTTTGCATTGTGCCCTGAGAACATCTAAACTAAAAGTCTGTGAAAAACTCATTTTACAATCTAAAAAATCTTGGGATATTTTTTCTACCCAAATCCTGGGTTGAGCCTTTTGGGTAATTTTTTTTTCTCAGTGTTTGGGCAGTTTTTGTGTAACTCAGATCCTGGGTCAGACGTAACAACCCAGTGTTTGAGTAGTTTTTGTGTAACCTAGATCCTGGGTCAGACGTAACAACCCAGTGTTTGGGTAGTTTTTGTGTAACTCAGATCCTGGGTCAGACGTAACAACCCAGTGTTTGGGTAGTTTTTGTGTAACTCAGATCCTGGGTCAGACGTAACAACCCAGTGTTTGGGTAGTTTTTGTGTATCTCAGATCCTGGGTCAGACGTAACAACCCAGTGTTTGGGTAGTTTTTGTGTAACTCAGATCCTGGGTCAGACGTAACAACCCAGTGTTTGAGTAGTTTTTGTGTAACCTAGATCCTGGGTCAGACGTAACAACCCAGTGTTTGGGTAGTTTTTGTGTATCTCAGATCCTGGGTCAGACGTAACAACCCAGTGTTTGGGTAGTTTTTGTGTAACTCAGATCCTGGGTCAGACGTAACAACCCAGTGTTTGGGTAGTTTTTGTGTAACTCAGATCCTGGGTCAGACGTAACAACCCAGTGTTTGGGTAGTTTTTGTGTAACCCAGATCCTGGGTCAGACATAACAACCCAGTGTTTGAGTAGTTTTTGTGTTACCCAGATCCTGGGTCAGACGTAACAACCCAGTGTTTGGGTAGTTTTTGTGTAACCCAGATCCTGGGTCAGACGTAACAACCCAGTGTTTGGGTAGTTTTTGTGTAACCCAGATCCTGGGTCAGACGTAACAACCCAGTGTTTGGGTAGTTTTTGTGTAACCCAGATCCTGGGTCAGACGTAACAACCCAGTGTTTGGGTAGTTTTTGTGTAACCCAGATCCTGGGTCAGACGTAACAACCCAGTGTTTGGGTAGTTTTTGTGTAACCCAGATCCTGGGTCAGACGTAACAACCCAGTGTTTGGGTAGTTTTTGTGTAACCCAGCTCCTGGGTCAGACGTAACAACCCAGTGTTTGGGTAGTTTTTGTGTAACCCAGATCCTGGGTCAGACGTAACAACCCAGTGTTTGGGTAGTTTTTGTGCAATCCAGATCCTGGGTCAGAAGTAACAACCCAGGGGCAAAACGGGACAAAAATGTTTAATTTTTACTTCTAATATTTGTTAAATGAGCTTAAATGTATGCAATATTCAAAACTATAAAACATATACTGTAAAATATGATAAAAAATAAAGGAATCATCATGGAAACCATTGGTTGTGTGGATTTTTTTTTTTTTTTTTAGTTTAGAGTTTAGTTTTTTTTAAAGTTTAGAGGATTTAAGTTATTCTGTAAACATTCATGAAGTAAAAAAAAGAAAGAAAATAGCATATAGTAAAAATGAATCAACCCATTATGCTGGGTTAAATAGACAACCCAATTTGCTGGGTAAAATTAACCCAACATGTGTTCTGTCCTATGTTTACCCAGCCCTTGGGTTGAAAACAACCCAAATTTGGTTGTTTTAACCCCGTGTTTTTTAGAATGTATAAATGTCCCTTTACTGTAACTTCATGTTCATATTGCACACACACCCAGAAAGCAAGAGTGTGAAGAGTGTAAATGTCTCTGTCATTGTTAAAATAAATGTCAAATAACGCTGTGATTGTTGTTAAGCTTTAAAATGATATGAAACTTGAAATCCTTTATGCTATGAAAGTTTTAAATGAACACTAACTGTAATTGGCCACAGTAGAGCATATGCATCGAAATAAAGTGTTACCGTAAAGACTTATTATTGGGCTTTCGGATTGAAGCCGACCCGAGCTGTGTAACGGGACAGGAGCATCTCTGGGAATTTGGACAACTGTCTGACCTTTCCTTTCCTCTCTCTCTCTCTCTCTCTCTCTCTCTCTCTCTCTCTCTCTCTCTCTCTCTCTCTCTCTCTCTCTCTCTCTCTCTCTCTCTCTCTCTCTCTCTCTCTCTCTCTCTCTCTCTCATTGCAGAATAAGGTGCTGAACATTGACGGGGTGAGGGTTAAACTACAGGTGAGCATCCTTTCTTACATGAGACTCTTTAATGATATCTCAAGATGACGGTTGGTTTACAGCTTTACTACTATGAAAGCAAATAAGAGACATAACTATTTGAAATTTAACAGCCACTGAATACTTAGTTTTGAAATATTTTATTTTGAAAAACCTTTATCTGAATTTATTTGCTCTGAATTCACCCCATTGAAATTATTTTACTTTGGAAACCATGTATCTGAATTTATTTGTTTATTTGTTTTGTTTAAAAACTTGAATTTCGATTTTAATATTTTTCAATGCTCACAAATTCAGATAAAAAAAAAAAATCAACTTACAGAATTTCAGATAAAATAGATTCAGGTTGATCAAATTCGACTGCTCAAATTCAGATAGAAAAATTCAAGTTAAATATTCACATGGTAACATCCGGGCTACCCAGGATAGGAAAAACAGCTGAGCCTGTGTAGAGACAGAGGGTATTTAAGCCACGCCCACAGCGGGGCGAAGCAATCCAACCGTCTCCATTGACTTTGCATTGCGAGAGGCTGCCTCCTTATAATAACATATAACAAAAGACAGAAAAATGCATAAAAGCTGCTGTGTGACAAGGTGTTCAGCAAATAAGCTAAAAAAAACACACAACAGAAATACAGTTTTATAAGCTTCCGAACCGGTAAAGCCAGCCTTTAAGGAGACAAAAGTAGATAGGCTTCAGGCAATAAGACGTGAAGCATCAGCAGGAAGAATGGGTACATTTAATATATCTCCTCTTCTCAGGTTCACATAGGGTGGTGAAATAAGCAATCGACATGGTTAAAATTATGAATTTTTTTTTTTTTTACAATATCATGTCGCGTTCCAGTGCTATATGGGGAGGCTGGGCGTAGTTCTCTCAGAGTAGTTCGAGAAATAGTTGCGCTCTTTCTCAATTGATCCACTCTTATGTCCTGAAAAACAAACCGTTTTTGGGGTCGACAGCGTATAAAAAATAATTTCTGGGTTATTTTGCTTGTTTGCTGTACACCTTGTCACACAACAGCTTTTAGACATTGTTTTGTTTTTTGTGTCATAAATGACAAGGAGGCAGCCTCTCGCAATGCAAATCAATAGAGACGGTTGGATTGCTTTCCCCCCGGTGTGGGCGTGGCCTATCCTGGGTAGCCCGGATGTTACCATGTGAATATTTAACTTGAATTTTTCGATCTGAATTTGAGCAGTCGAATTTGATCAACCTGAATCTATTTTATCTGAAATTCTGTAAGTTGATTTTTTTTTTTCTGTAAGTTGATCTGAATTTGTGAGCATTGAAAAATATTAAAATCGATATTCAGGTTTTTAAACAAAACAAATAAACAAATAAATTCAGATACATGGTTTCCAAAGTAAAATAATTTCAAAGGGGTGAATTCAGAGGAAATAAATTCAGATAAATGTTTTTCAAAATAAAATATTTCAAAACTAAGTATTCAGTGGCTGTTAAATTTCAAATAGTTATGTCTCTTATTTGCTTCCATACACTACAAACCAGAACAGAACTTCTTTCTGATCTAAACTGGCCTTTAAACTGCAAAAAAAGTTTTTGTTTTTTTGTCTAAAATCAAGCTTTTCGATTTGTTACGATCTGTCGGCATTTATATGATCACTTCAAACCCTTGAGTAGTTGGATGGTTTAATTATCACATCTCTATGATATCTGCTGTTTTGAATAGTACGGCGATGCGTTTGGATGTTGCTTTGCTTCCTCTGGCTAATATTGAGTAAGTAAACACTGAATGTGCATCTGGAGGATCAGCTGTAATGAGAGTTTAACGAGGCTGTCATTAATCATTAACGCTCCATTAGCAGCAGGACGAGACACACTCACTCCACTGTGTGTTTTATTAAACCAGACAGACGCTGAATAACCACGTTCATATCAGAGAATACAGTAGATGCTTTTCTGAGGTCGTTAATTATTGTGGATAGGAATGAGTGTGTGTGTGTGTGTGAGAGAGAGAGAGAGACAGAGTGTGTGAGTGAATGTGTGTATGTGTGTCTGTGTGTGTATGTGTCTGAGTGTAAGTGTGTATTTGTCTGTGTGTGTATGTTTCTGAGTGTAAGTGTGTGTGTGCGAGTGTGTGTGTGTTTGTTTGATTGTGTGTGTGAGAGTGTGTGTACATGGTATTAAAATACATTAATATATTATATAAATAATATATAATATAATATATAATATATAAACAAAAAAGCTATAAATCCGTCATACAATACCCAGCCTATGAAGAGCAGTTACACTCTTCAGTTAAATAAGAGCAACAGTAGTGTGTATTGAAAAATAAAATAATTATGCAAAAAATACAAAGTGAGTCTATTGCATGACAGTCTGTTCATCACACAAAGAGTCTGTGAGTCATTTTGAAGAAAGAAACTCATACAGATTTAAAAAAGACATGGAAATGCGTTCATAATGGCAAAATTTTCATTTATTTAGTACTGTGTGTGTGTGTGTGTGTGTGTGTGTGTGTGTGCATTATCTCCCAGGCTTTATTAATGTCAGGCTGTCCTGCTCATCAGGATTCATGTCTTGCACATCAGCTTCATCAGTGTGAAACACGACCGTTCCGACAGGTCGCCGTGTGTGTGTGTGTGTGTGTGTGTGTGTGTGTGACAGGCTGCTCTTATCAGGACAGGGACTGTGTAATAGGTCTTGACCTCAGCCATAAATCCTCATGCTTGTGTTCTGCCTCGCGTCATTAACACACATAATTAAAGCGCTGCTCTGCTTCTCGACTCAGATCTGATGTGTGTGTGTGTGTGTGTGTGAGATGAGTGTGTGAATGAAGCAGGTTAAGTGTGTGTCTCCTCTTGCTCTGTAGATCTGGGACACGGCGGGACAGGAGCGGTTCAGGAGTGTGACACACGCCTACTACCGAGACGCACATGGTGAGTTGCACTTTACTTAAATGTGAAAGCAAATCCACTTTGTTTGGCCTTCCAAAAATGGATGGAATTTAGAAATGAATGAAAATTATGAAATTAATTTCAAAATTATGAAATTAATCGGTGTAAACTTACCACTGTGAAAAGATCTGCTCCAGTTCATTCCAATCGATTGGCGTGATCATCCATATGTTCAGATATGATACGGTGTTATTAAAGTCCCCCTGCAGTCAATAATGGTATCCCTTAAAATTAATCTTTGATCACCAAAATAACCAAAAATTCTTCATGTCTTAAAATATCTTGAATGTAACTCGACACCCTTGCCTCATTTAGTATACGCGGTTCTATGAATATGCAAATTAGCCTCCACCCAATGATTATGGTAAGGCGTGTTATATATATTGTTTGGCCAATCACAACGCACTGGGTCAGCTGGCCAATCAGAGCACTCTGAGCTTTTCAGAGGGAGGGGCTTTGTAGAAATCAGAGTGTTTCACAGGAGCTGTGTGAAAAATAAGGTGTTTTTTGAACATAAAGGGCCAGATTTACTAAACAGGATTTACTAAATTAGCGTGAGAGCGCAATCCCATAAAAGTTCAGGGCGTGATTTACTGACGACGCACAAATGAAAGAGCAGAGACGCAGCCGGATCATTTCCTTAATGACCAACACAATCTACCGTTTCCCAGCGTAAATTAGCGTCTGGTTTAAATAATGGCGCGAATACCAGTAAATCGACGAGCGCAAACCTTAGTAAATCACTGTGCATGATCATTTAAATACTCCCCTCACATAATTTTGCGTCTCAAAAGGGAAACTCCTACAAATGCATATGCAAAAAATAACCCTGTCCATGCCTTTTCAGCGGAAATATTTCACTGTGTGTCTTTAGTAGATCCTGACAGTAGTTTTTAAATGCCAAGAGAGGGTTTGAGCTGGCGCCGGCTGTCAGTAAATCTGGCCCTAAAGCATGCTAACCTATTCTATTACAATAATGACCTTTTAAACGAACTTTTAAAACCCCTTTTACTGAAACAATGGGACGAATTAGTACATTGTGGCCACGATTTATTAAAATGAGGGAAGTCATTTTGAATGCATGGCCAAGATTTGATAAAATGAGGGTATGATTAATAAAACAAGGGAATTAAGATGCAAATGAGGTGAGAAAAATGTGCCTAATTTTGATGTCTTCATGATTTGTTATGGAAAACAAGACAGCAACAACTACAAAAACAGATTAAGAAAGTGTTGCAAAAGTTTGGCAGTGTTTCTCTGTCTAAACTCCTGCTGTGACTGAGTTAATGCTTTTATTAATATAACTCTAAAAATGGCACATTTGACGCTCTATTTTGCTCTCTCTGTTTCTCCTTCACTTTTCAGATTCTCAACTAGTTTTGTTTAGATTTTACATTAAGTGGCGTCCCATCGGTTTATCATACGAATAAACTAAAATGCCTCTACAAATGTATTATTATGAATTATGACCTGCATAAACACAACACAACCTGACATGCTACAAATGAATGAGAAAACAGAAATGTTGTGAATGCATAAAGAACAGCAGAAGTGTGATTTGTGAGTTGTGTTGACGTATTTATATTTGAAAGGGAAAAATAATTTCAATTGAATATCAATGACAACATTGAAAGAGTGTAAATGCAACAGCAGAAGTGTGATTTGAACCCATTTCTGATGTATTTTCTGAGGTCACGAGGTCATGCATCTGTCTAATGCAAACATGCTTAATGAATTTGATGTTACAAAAGAAACGTTTTTCTAAAAGGCATTTATTGTGCCGTCCACATGATTATATTTTTAGCTGCATTTATCAGTTGCATTCAGCGCTGCTTTTCTCCTGCTGTCCACGACCCTTTCAGAATAGACCAGTTGAGAATCACTCATATATGCGACTAGCATGTCATAAACATCATTTATTGCCAAAACAACAACATCATAATCCAAAACAACACTTTTAGGATAAGCGTAAAGCATATAAAGAATATTGCGTTTGTAATCTGGGTTCATCAACTTCCCTGTAGACATCAGTACTATCCGTAAAGTCATCCATAAAGTGCAAATGTTTTTTTTGTTGGTTTTTTTGTACCTTCTAATTTCTCTATGGGAGAGAAAATGCCAAACATAAAAGTTTTGTTTTTTCGGCATGTTGATGACATGAAATAATGTGAGAGAAATTCGGTTGTTTTAGAACATTAAACCAAGTGTTTTACTTTTTTTACTCTCTGAAACGCCTCAACTGTAGTCTTGAGTTTCTCCCGGGAACGAACACGTCACAATATTCCTCAATATAATAATTAATGCGCAGAATAAAGGGGCGGGGCCTGGTTGAGTTAGTTAGTAGTGTGTTAAACTGGCGGTTATGGTAATTAGGGGCAGGACATTTCCCAAACACACTCGAAGCGCTCGACCAATCACAACACACTGCTCCAGCCGACCAATCAGAGCACAGTGTGCTTTTCAGAAGGAGGGGCTTCATAGAGACAGGAAGTAAACAGAGCGTTACTGACAGACTGGGAAGAGAGGAGCCGCAACAATGGGGAATATGAGGAGAATAATCAACATTCAAGCAGGAAAACCTGTTCTAGTAGAGCCCAGGAAAAAAAAATGAAGACCTTGTAAAAGGGGATAACACAGTTTAAAGGGTCCTCTTTAAACTCCTGCAGTCTTTCGTGTAGAAAACATTATGCAAAGGGACTTTTGTGTGCAAATCCTGCAGTAACAAGACGTGTTCAGCAGCATACAGTAAATATCTCTTGAATATATAATATACTGTACCAAACATATGTATCTTATCAGAGTTGCACTACTGAATTTAAATGATGTAAGCTTGCATTCGTGCTTGTGTTTCAGCCATTTCAACCAACCTGGAACAGAAAGAGGCACTCAGTGCTAAAGTATCGACCATCTAAAGCAGAACCAAATGACAAACAGTCATGACAAAATGCATGTTCCTGTAGGCAGAGTCGCTGTTTTGCGTTCCCGTTTCAGTGCATTGTTAATTTTTCAGTGATGCTTAAGCAAAAAAAACGCTTTCCGAGAGCATGTGCGACCCACCCACACCAGCCCACGTTCTTACTTTCAAACGAGACTGATTGGATCATAAACAGCAGCTATTATGACCTTTTTAAATGAGGTTCTGATGCACACACACACACACACACACACTCAGCATGCTCTTTGACGTTTGATTGATGTTTAAATAAATGCACACTTTTATGCAGCCAACATTTTCCCCTGAAGAGCTTGTCACATGCAAACATGTGCATGCAAACCCATAATCACATCGTCCGTGGCGTAGACATTAGGGATGGCGGCTCTCGTATTGTCCTGCATGTATGCTGTGTTTTATTAGTCTGAGTGAATCAGTGTGTAGAAGAGACTACTGTACTCCTGACGGACGCCCACACACTGCCTCTCCCATCTGTGCCTGTGTGTCGTCCAGCTCACCGAGAGACGTGGCACTGCAACACACACTGCAGATCAGAGGAAAGCACACCTTCACAGGAGATCTGGGAGAGGAATGCATTTAAATACATTAGAATTATCATGAGCTTCTGAAATGCAACCTTTTTTATTATTATTACGGTATGGTATTCTTTGAAGTATACGCTTTAGATTAGGGTTAATTCGCACTATTAACTATGAATCTTGCCTCAATAAACTCCTAATCACTGCTTATTAATAGTCAAGTCAGCTTTATTTATATTTAGATAGAGCTTTTTACAATACAGAGTGTTTCAAAACAGCTTTAACAATGCAACAAAGATGGTTTCTGTTGTACAGCAGATCTAGAAGAAAACAGTGTCATAATCCAGATTAATGTGATGGTTCATTTCTGTTGTAAAAAGTTATTAATTTAGTTCATTTATATATACAGCCGCTCTGGAGAAAACAGTGATGTCATCGTGTTCTCATAAAATGGTGTCAGTGCAGGCAGATCAAAAATATTAAATATTAATGTGCTTTATAAGTAATAAACATAAAATCAATATCACTTTTGCAATCGTGCTGACATATGACTTGCTTGTGTAATTTGTTATAAATATTAAAAGCAGCTTTTTTTAATATGTTAGTGCCTATTGCCTTATAAGCTCCATTGAATCCTGACCCTGGTCTGATACAAACATTATTCCATCATTTGTTGTTATTAATTGTATCTCATGTGTCCAAGTCAAATTTCATCCCCAAAACATGAAAGAAATAAGATATTTTGTTTTAAAAATAATCTCTGTTTTTAGGACCAGAAGTCCCGCTGTGGCGTAAATCCAGCTTTTAATGTTGTTTATATGTGTTTTTAATACGCTTTAAGACACACCATGTGTAAGTTCATAAGTCGACAGCATTGCTGAGTATTTTCTGCTTAAAACTGCAGTGAACCAAAGACAGTCTCAAAAACACGGTTTGAAATCGCTGGTGTTTCTGACGTCACAAACGAACTTGTAACCAATCAGATCAACGTGTGATCGTCAACCAGTGGATCTCTGAGCTGAGGGAGTGAGTGGAGGCGGGGCTCATTTGCATATTCATAGAGCCGCGCATACTAAATGAGGCAAGGGTGTCGAGTTACATTCAAGATATTTTAAGGCATGAATAATTTTTTTTTTCATTTTGGTGATCAAAGATGAGATTTAAGGGATAAAATGATCGACTACAGGGGGACTTTAACTTTAGGTATTCAGTGATTAAAGGATGTAGAATCACTCGTTGACCTGATTAGTTACAAAGTCTTTTCTTTTGGTTGCTAACATTAACACCAGCAGAAAAACTGGAATTCCCATTGAGGATAATGGGAATAAAATGCTCATAAAAATGACGGGTAATGATAATTGGGTGGGTGGTCCTAAAAATAGGCTTCATTTTCTTGATTTAAAACATGATTTATTTTGGCTGTAGGGTGAAATGTGACCTAGAAATGTTTTAGCGAAATCTGGATGAGAAATTACGATTTTTACCTGCACTATCACCAGATCTACAGTATTTTCATATACTATTCATCAGATAAAACACACAAACAATGTGAAGGGAAACGACACAGACGCTCTTGAGAGGAGATTTGAAACCCATTCATATAAAATCAATGATGCATGAGGTTCATTCGTTTAAACAAGTGAGCTGTCTCAATGCTGTCTTATTTACCTAAATTGATTTTCCACCTTACAAACCAAATGCACAGCTAATATCAGTGATTAAAAGGCTTTCCGAGTTAAAAGTGCTGTGGTTTGGTTGAGCTGTGTGTTACGGCTCACTCGTCTGCTTTCTCTCCCATGGGTCAGTAATAAATGATCATTTTTGTGGATAGGGTTTTGAGAGCAAGATAATAATGGGCTTGTGAAATGGTTTTGACATAATGATTGTTAATTGCAGTGATTATTGTAGCGCCACTCACATGTCAGTCGAACTCGGCTCTGAAAAGACACTTTGTGAAGAGTCTTTGTTTCCCTGCTCCAGTTTAGTTGTTTATTCAGGCCAATATGCATTTTCTGTTCTTTTGTTCCAGCTTTTTAATATGTTATACTGACATTTACTGTAGGGGAAGAACAGACATCACAGTACATGAAGTATATTTCTGCCTTTAGTGACACAGTAAAACATTCAAGCTTCATGCGTACAAAATTATGGCTGTTTCAAAAGTGAGGATTTTCCATTTATTTACTTTTTAAATGGCTTTTACAATGCAATCTGTGCAATCTTTTCAACTTAAATTGTTGGTTGCACACATGGCTTTGATTTTATTTTATAATAACTTTAGGGTCTCCAAATTATGTTGTAAAATCTAAAAAAAAAGTTTAGTGCATTTACCTTACAGTATAAACTTACAGAAACTCGAAAAATTAGAATATCGTGCAAAAGTTAATTTATTTCAGTAATAAAAAGGTGAAACTAATATATTATATAGACTCATTACATGCAAAGTGAGATATTTCAAGCCTTTATTTGTTATAATTTTGATGATTATGGCTTACAGCTTATGAAAACCTTTTCACAATATTCTCATTTTTAATTTGGGGTTTTCATAAGCTGTAAGCCATAATCATCAAAATTATAACAAATAAAGGCTTGAAATATCTCACTTTGCATGTAATGAGTCTATATAATATATTAGTTTCACTTTTTAAGTTGAATTACTGAAATAAATTAACTTTTGCACGATATTCTAATTTTTCGAGTTTCACCATTTGATTTTTTGAAGCTGATTTCACTTCTGCAATAATCTGCAATCTAAAAAGAGACCAACCTTCGGTCTGAATTACATCAATTACATCCATTTAAGTTCAGATCTGTGTTCAAACCAGGGGCTGACAGTATATAAAACCCGTCTCTCTGATACTCAATATTACACCCACGAGCAGTAAATGTTTCTAGGTTACAGCGGTTTGTGTTTCCATTGAAACATGTATTTGTTCAGGCATTATAAATGGAGAACACCTGGCTTTAGAGATGCTCGTGAACAGTTATTTCCGTCTGCACGGCTGAATGTGTGTGTCGTTGGGTTCAGACACACACGATCGTACAGGACCCCGACACACTGCTGTCATTTCCAATCGCTCTTCCCACGGTTTGGCTCCCGTCACTCAACGCGCACTCGTTCGGCTTGAAAAAACTCTCTATTGTCTTGCAAAAAAAAACAAAGAATTAAAAGCGCCTTGCAGGGAAACTCTGTCACTGTTAAGAGCTGATAAATTTCCATTCAGACCTTCTCCATTCTGAATAGAAGCATGTGTGTGTGTGTGTGTGTTTGTGTGTGTGTGTGTTCCTCCGTCTGCGCTGCTTCCTCCTCCAGAGATGATAATTATCCTTTAATGTTTGCCCTTCACAGACTCATCTCCCCCGAACCCTAAATAAAGCACTGAATCCATAAATACACACACACACTGAAAGCGTTGGTCGGCTTGAAATCACACACTCGTGGGGCCAAAGAAGTCATGCTTTCAAACTCCTTCGTCTTCTAGTAAAGAAAGAGTGCAAAAGGACATCAAATGTCTGAGGTGATGTTGTTCTTCATTCATTCCTGTCTCTCTTTCAGCTCTTTTGCTGCTCTACGACGTGACAAATAAAGCTTCTTTTGACAACATACAGGTAAGACTCATGTGACTCATTTACTGTCATTTTTAAAGTGTCTTTGTAATTATAAACGTGTAAAAGTGTTCTTTCGATTGACTCAAGAGTGCATGCCACTTTTCATTCATCTTAAAGAGCAGTTTCCCTGTTGTTTCGCACTTTAACTGTAGAATTCAGAAACCGTTGTTTATAGTGACACCGGTGGCTGTAAAGGGAACTGCAGCAGAAACGTATTTCTCGTGCACACGTAACGTACAAGAGACTAAACGTGATTCAATAGCCTGATGTTGATTTTTCATTCTTTGCTTAGAAGTAAACACATGTTGGAAATATCTTTGCAGAGATACACCGTTAACGAACATCCCGACGCCGTCCGCTTCTGAGAGCGACGGATAGATGAATATGTAAATATGTGCTGCGCATTTTTCTCTCAATAACAAAATAAACAGTGGCGAGAAAACAGCAGTTCAGAAAGCATCTGATAATAGCGATGTGGAAATGTTTGCACAAGATCTGAGATTCAGCGGCATCATGTCGACAGATTACACTGTTATGATAGTTTAACATATTTGAGACTATAGACTATATAGATCTGGCTCTGTGAGATTATAGTTTATATCAATGGCTTATCATTAAATGACACATTAACATGACAGGCTCTTTCTGCTTTATCCTGAACATTGTATAAGCATTTATTCATGCATCATTGTGGTTGACCTCGCTGAATCATTACAGATTAGCACTGTTTCTGTCACGGTTACTGTAAAACATTATTAACCACACTTTAAAGTCTCCTTATATGCTGTGCATTGCTTCACTGTACGTGTGTTTCATACACATCGATCTAAACACATGGAGTAATTATAAGAGAAGGAGAATAAGGGGGACAGAAAGTTTTGGGCGAATGATTTGTAAATGAGATGTGAGTTTAATGAGTTGAGCATCAAAGGTATTGAGGCCATCTGTCCTACAGGTTTGCAGCTGCAGGCTCATTATTATTAATAAATTGTGAAATATTGCACCATTTATAACCATTAGCCGAGGCGCAGGGGGACAGATATCACCCCAGGCTTTTAAACATCCTTATTAATATGTGAACGTGTAAACACACAACCCCCTCACACTCCCACACACGTTTATTTCTCATTTCTCTCTTCTCTTTTATGCACGCATGAGACATGCAGAAACACCATCAACTTCAGTCACGCGTTCACATGTGCAGTTCCTCAGACCAAAGGTTCAGACTCACATGCATTTACATCTCAAGAAGCTTTTGTCTACTATCGGACTCCTAACCATAAGGGAGTGTGTGTGTGTGTGTGTGTGTGTGTGTGTGTGTGTGTGTGTGTGTGTGCACCAGCACAGCACCTGTTCATTTGCACAGAAGCACTCAAGCCTCAACTCTGCTGCTCAGGTTAATTGGTGTAAATTGATGCTAATCACCGTGACGAACCAGGAACAAAAGCCTGAGATTCGGAAAGCCAAAGCCTTCATGTCACACTGCAAATAAATAAATAAATAAATAAATGTTCATATATATTATACAGGTGAAACTCGAAAAATTAGAATATCATGCAAAAGTTCATTTATTCCAGTAATTCAACTTAAAAGGTGAAACTAATATATTATATAGACTCATTACATGCAAAGTGAGATATTTCAAGCCTTTATTTGTTATAATTGTGATGATTATGGCTTACAGCTTATGAAAACCCCAAATGCAAAATTCGAATGTGAAAAGGTTTTCATAAGCTGTAAGCCATAATCATCACAATTATAACAAATAAAGGCTTGAAATATCTCACTTTGAGTCTATATAATATATTAGTTTCATCTTTTAAGTTGAATTACTGAAATAAATGAACTTTTGCACGATATTTGAATTTTTCGAGTTTCACCTGTATATTCATACAACAAAATATTTTGTGGGCCATGCAACTTTTGAGAAAATTATAAAAAATAGTGTCTTTGGCTGGAAACTTATAATTTAAAAATAAATAAATAAATAAAACATGGAAAGAGTTATTATAGGCATAAACCTGACTAAACACTCTTGTACACTAAAAGTTGAGTCGGTAAGATATTTAAAAATGTGCTCAAGATGGCTGCATTAATTTAATCAAAATACAGTAAATACTGTAATATTGTGAAATATTATTGTAATGTAAATCAGCTGTTTTCTAAGTGAATATATAGTAAAGTGTAATTTATTCCTGTGATCAAAGCTGTATTTTCAGCATCATTACTCCAGTCTTCAGTGTCACATGATCCTTCAGAAATCACTCTAATATGAGGATCTGATGCTCGAGAAACATTTATGATTATTATCAATGTTGAAAACAGTCGTGCTGCTTCAGATTTTTGTGGAAACCAATATTTTATTTTTCAGGATTATTATTTGAAATATTTATTCACAATTTTACCGTCATGTTTGATCAATTTAATGCGTCCTTGTTGAATAAAAGTATTAATTTATTGAAAAAAAAAACGACCTTTTGAACAGTAGCATAGCCTGTACAATAAGCTTTGTAATTTCCCTGATATTAAACATCAAGCAGCCATGTTTCAAGCATTAAGTTTTCTCTTTATTGTGAAGGCATGTGTCTCTCTGAATAAGCTTCGGTTTGCTCACGCTGTCTGTAATGCAGAGTTGCAGTGCTGGCGGACCCGTGTTCATTACTCGCTCAGATAATTGACACATTCAGTGCTAAATAGGATTACATTGGATTAAGGGAGGAGAAATGAATTTCTCATGGTTGCATCAGCATCTTAAGTAGGTCTTTAATGAATCAACCACATGGTCAATCATGAGCGCTGGCTAAATCTCACTGGAGTCTCATTAAAGTTTTTTATCCACTTTCACTAATTTACAGATAATTGTTTGGTGAGGCGATGAACATTGTTGTGGCATAGGTCACACAAGAGAGGGCTTTAGTTTAGATCAGGCTAAAATTGATGAAAAGTGGTGATTTGCATACACAGATACAGATAAGAGATAATAATATGAGTTGTTGGCAATATTGCGAGGATTTTTGGCAATACTTGTAATTTTATCACTTAGAACTCATCTTTGTTCACCAGAATTACATATCTAAATGTTTTTTCCTTGAAAAATGTCTTCATGCCTTAAAATCTCTTGAATGTAACTCGACACCCTTGCCTCATTTAGTATGCGCGGTTCTATGAATATGCAAATGAGCCCCGCCTCCACTCACTCCCTCAGCTCAGAGATCCACTGGTTGACGATCACACGTTGATCTGATTGGTTACAAGGTCGTTTGTGACGTCAGAAACACCAGCGATTTCAAACCGTGTTTTTGAGACTGTCTTTGGTTCACTCCAGTTTTAAGTTCTTTACTTCTTTCCAGAATTAATCAATGTTTTGAATGAATCGATCGAGTGAATGATTTAATGACTTGACGCATAAAGGCAATCGCTTGATTTGTTCCTGAGTGAATCAGTTTTGTGAACAAATCTGTTGAATGAGTCATTCATTGAATCAGTCATGAAGACGGTCTTAGTCTTTCCAGAATGAATCAGTGTTTTGAATGAATCAATCGAGTGAATGATTCAATGATTGACTCATTAAGGCAGATGCTTGGTTCGTTCCTGAATGAATCAGCTTTTGAACAAATCTGTTAAATTAGTTGTTCAATGACTCACTCTAACCTGCAGAACGACTCACTGAGAAATCTGCACCGCTAATATAAACGGATATAGAGATTTTTATAGAGATTTTTATTATCACCTAGCCCTAGTACTGAAGTTACATGGACCTAAAAACAGCATTTATATATTGGATGTATTTTTTTTATGCAATAGAACTGGTGTCACTTACGGTGAAACTCAAATGATTAGAATATCATGCAAAAGTTCATGTATTTCAGTAATTCAAATTAAAAGGTGAAACTAATGTATTTAGTATATGTAACTATATACATTATGCATGATTATACTTTTCAGAGGGCCGACATTTCTGTATTTAAAATCCTTTTTTTAATTGATTTCATGTAATATTCAAATTTTCTGAGATTTTGAATTTGGGGTTTTCATAAGCTGTAAGACATAATCATCACAATTATAACTTTTGCATGATTAATTTTGTGAACGGCACAATGGTTATGGTACTTTTCCCCCAGTTTCTACACATGTTGAGTATGTAGAACTATATTTAACACTGTGAGCATGAGTCTGCTATCAGCCTGAAGGTTCTGCCTTGTATGTGTGAGGTGTTCGAGTGCTTGTGGTTCTGAGGCGTGTGTAAGATTGCATGTTGCAGTCAGTCTCATAACTCTGGATTGTTATTCATCCCTCCCTCCAGCTCTTCCTCGTCTCTCTCTCTCTCTCTCTCTCTCTCTCTCTCTCTCTCTCTCTCACTCATGCTCCCGGCTCTGGTGTTGTGAATGTCTCTCGGTTATTCCAACAGCTCTGAGTGACTTGTGCTTCATGAGACAGAAGCTGGAGAAACACGATAACGGTTCCTCGGCACCGACTGAACTCAGACTGGCTGGACTGCCCGTGGTGTGTGTTTATTCATTTCAGAAGAGTGTATCGCACTGTTTCGATTTTGACGGCACTGATGCATTCCTACATAATTCCATAGAGTTTTGATTTAAAATTCTGAATGAACCCTGTCTAAAGCCATTATTCATTCATTCATTCATTCATTCATTCATTCATTCATTCATTCATTCATTCATTCATTCATTCATCCGTCCATTCATTCATTCGTTCATTCATTCATCCGTTCATTCATTCATTCATTCATTCATTCATTCATTCATTCATTCATTCATTCATTCATTCATCCGTTCATTCATTCATCCGTTCATTCATTCATTCATCCGTCCATTCATTCATTCATTCATTCATTCATTCATTCATTCATTCATTCATCCGTCCATTCATTCATTCATCCGTCCGTTCATTCATTCATTCATTCATCCGTCCATTCATTCATTCATTCATTCATCCGTCCATTCATTCATTCATCCGTCCGTCCGTTCATTCATTCATTCATTCATTCATTCATT